GATAACCACATTGGAATCAACGTGAACTCCATTGTTTCTGTTGCTTCTGTTGATGTCGTGGCAAAAGGCATTGATCTTAAGAGTGGAAGGAAGATTACGACGTGGATTGAATATAACAATGAATTGAAATTGATCCGAGTGTGGGTTGCTTACCTGCCAATCAAGCCACCGAGCCCCCTTCTCTCTTCCCAGATTGACCTCTCCTTGCAATTCAAAGAGTACATGCACGTTGGATTCTCTGCTTCTAATGGGCAGGGCTCTGCAATGCATGTTGTGGAGCGATGGCGGTTCAAGACATTTGAGTCTCACAAGCAGCCTTTTATCACCCCTGTTGACACAGTTGAAGAAGGGGACTGTTTAGTCTGCTCTCCGGATGATTCACACAGCAGCAGCAACCTGGAGTTTGGGGTAGAAAGAAAACCCAAGTCAGGCGACTTGGCTCTTTTTCTCGAAGGTTTAGCAGCATCTGTCTTAACTCTATCATTGATTATTGCCATAATCAGTTTCTTTGTGATAAAGAAGAAAAGACTTGTTAGGAGAACGAGTAAAGAAGGCCAAACTTATAGAGTTCAAATGAACCAAATGCCGGCCAGATTGTCACTTGCAGATATAAAATCAGCCACGGTTGGTTTTCATCATAATAAAATTGTTGGTTCGGGTGCATCAGCGACTGTTTACAAAGGTTGTTTGCCTTCAGGTGGAACAGTAGCAATTAAGAGGTTTGATCGAGCTAACTGGAAAGAGAGCAACCGCAATCCTTTCAGTACAGAGTTTGCAACAATGGCGGGTTGCTTAAGACACAAAAACTTGGTACAACTTCAAGGTTGGTGCTGCGAGGGAGCAGAGTTAGTCCTCGTTTATGAGTACTTACCCAACGGAAGCCTTGACAAAATCCTTCACCACAGGTCAAGTAGTGAAATCCTCCTCTCTTGGCAGCAAAGGTTGAACATACTTGTTGGAGTTGCCTCTGCTCTCTCATACTTACATGAAGAGTGTGAGAGACAGATAATCCATAGAGATGTTAAAACTTGCAATATAATGCTTGATGCAGAATTTAACGCCAAGCTCGGAGATTTTGGATTAGCGGAAGTTTATGAACATAGATCTGTTGCAAGGGAATCTACGATACCAGCTGGGACAATGGGATATCTTGCTCCTGAGTATGTATACTCGGGTGTTCCATCAATGAAAACTGATGTTTACAGCTTTGGCGTGGTGGTGCTGGAAGTAGCAACAGGGAGGAGGCCGGTTGATGATGAGGGGATGATACTTGTTGATTGGGTGTGGAAACTATGGGAAAATGGAAAACTGGTTGAGGCAGCTGATCCTGGGTTGAGAGGGAATTTTGAGGGTGTAGAGATGGAGAGGACGATAATGGTGGGGCTTTGTTGTGTGCACCCAGATCATGAAAAGAGACCAACCGTGAAGGATGCAGCCAGGATTCTTAGAGGTGAAGCACCACTTCCCCTTTTGCCTGCGAGGAAACCAGCCATAAGGATTCGGTCTGTTGTGCCTGGACATTCTGAAGAAGAATTACTCAATTCTGGAGATCACAGTCCTGGAGTAGATGATGCACCATGGTTAACGCCTAGATCACAATTTAGCTGACCTCAAAAACACACATCAGTTCAAATCAATTGTTGTTTGTATATTACATAAATATGAAGATTCTTTCCTTTTCTTTTTGATAAAGCTCGTCCTTTTTACGTCTCTTCTAATATACAAGGGCATCAATTAGACAGACCTAGCTTGCTGATAAACCTGTATTTGGGTTTGTGGATCAATGCATGAGATCAGGTGATACATAAAGAGACTAATAAATGAAAGGAGATCTAGCACACACTGCGATTATTCAGTTTAGTAACTATATCAACTCATTTTTGCTAACAGACTTCATATTTTTGCATTCATTTATCACAAATTAAACCCGAGAAAGAAAAGCACTTCAGTAGGGAGCGATATAATATACATAATTCCCTTCTACAATCACTGTTGATGTATAAGAGTTCACCAACAACAGAGTTTTATAAAAATAGAGGTAAGAAAGTCTGAGACTCATGAGCAGTTAACCGAATTATGCTTAGCACCATATAACACGACTACTTGGGTTTTGCTGCGAAAAGATTCTGCTGAAAGCTCCTGTAGGCTAGCTGTTGGCTACCCTGACAAGGCATCTGAAAAATTTGTAAATGAAGGGTTAGGAGGGAGATCAACTCAACAGTTTTATATCTGTTGATTCAACATTTTTTATGTCCAGTTTTCAGTTTTTGATGGCTTGAGATTCTCCTTATTTATACATGTAATCAGGTGATACATAAGAATAACGGAAAGAACAGCTAAAGAAGAGGTCTTTGCTTCTTTGAGAATATATAAGATTCTGAAGTGATACTTCAACAAAAAATTTCAGATCTGGAACCATAAATCTTTGAGAGCATAGTTGGTTTGATGGGGTAGACTGGGAAAAGGGTGAATAATGTTTGTAGGATGTCAAACGAAATTTGGTTCATATTCTGCTATTTTTATTCCTTACATCTTCTTGATTTTCTCATTTTCATTCTTCTAATAATCTGCAATCTATTATCTCATCATAAGTTCGTAAATGCTTCTCCAACCTTTTTCAGGAATTAGCTGCTCCGAAATATGGCGGTAGAGGGAAGCCAAATTTTGCCTACAAAGACTTTATTTACAAACATTCTACACTCTGCTTGGAGCAATAATGCCTCACTAATTGCTGCTTCGGATATTCCTTTCACGAAATTGGAAAAAATAATACTCTGGAAATTAGCATTGAGCTCAATGTAGAGATCAGTGTACAAAAACTTATCATCCAGCACCAATTTCAATAAGCATTTAATAGAAGGTTTAATGTTTTTGTCCATCCACAATACATAATAGGCATCAGAGACAGAAACAAGTTTATGCAATCATCACCCAATGCTTTGGTTGGATGATTCAATCAGCCTTCTAATATTGGGTTAAAGTAGAAGGTTTCTCTGCCTCACAATATACCGCTCCTTGGTTTAGATAACCTATAGTTGTAGATGATTGTGATGCTCTAGGAGATGCATACACATGGGGTGAGATCATATGTGATAATATTTTATGGCCGGGGCTGTTAATGCTTGTGGTTCAAAGATGTCTTCATAAATAGGTATCTGGTGGTGAAAATCTGTGTTCAGCCTCACAGGCTTTTAGATTTACCAGGCATAACATGGTTTGAAACATAGTATCAAACAGAAAAATCTTACTCATCCTACCCTATTCAAGGTGCCAAATATGATTAAATAAATCTAAAAGTTTGTCAGAATTCACTTGTAAATTCACACTTCATTAACCAGAAGATCATGAATGATCCTCCCATAAAAAATTGACTTCATGTAATATTTCACATTACAATGAATTCTAAATCCCACCAAATGATAACTTAAGATTCCCTTCACTTTAATTCTCAGTATATTTTCTAGCAAAACCCAAGTTGCAACTTTCACATTAGTCTTAGCATGTACAATTATAACATATTTACGAAAAACCAATTAATGTTTCTAGAGGTGGATCATAATTCTTAAAAGGAAAAGTGAAAAAACCAATCTAGGTTTATGGCAACCGTGATATGATTTGGTAACTCCTGGGATCTATAGTGAAAACTGAAGGAAGATACATCCAGAAACCAAAATTACAGGCTTTCTTACGTCAAGTGCACAAAGATTAAATAAGCAACAGTGCCACCAGGGTTACCAACCAGAGACTAGTGAAACAATAAACATTCATACTATTACTCATTGTTAGAAGAGAAAACAAGTATCTGAAACAAATCAGACGTAGTAATAGAAAAGAATAACTATATGATCAATCTGGACAACTGACAAGTCTACCTGTAAGACCATAAGCCACAATTCTTGAAGATTAATATTTTCTATATTAACACGGTTAATGAAATTTCAACAAGGCCTCCTTTAAAAATTCTGTTTTTATGCTAGTTTCTCACAACAATACTCTGTCAAGGACATCTTGGCAACACCTTCTTTCCTTGTATTCTACCAATGTAATACCTCCAAACCAAATCAGAAAAAGGAAAAAGGGCAAAAAAAAAAAAAAAGAAAGAAAAGAAAAGCCCATCAAATCATTAGACGTCCATGGATTCTCAGCAAAAAGGCTACAAGAAAGACAAGTGACGAAATGTGAAGTTGCTCTATTCTATTAGAAATCAACGCCAATATAATACCATATATTCATGAAACTCAACATGATTTTTTTCAATTAGCTGTTCCAGAAAAGGAAGTATCATCTTAATTTTCTCCCATCGAAGTTTAAAACATATTATGCGATCTATATGCACAAAATGTTTTCAAAGAGAAAACCCTAAAAGAGCTCAAATCTAACCATCAGTTTGCAAGATTTTACACTTACAAGGAAAAACCTAGTCGAGACAATAAATCCAAGGAATCAATCAATCACTGGTGGTGGCACCGTTAGACGTTGAGGCACCATCCGATTTGGCATGGTCATGATGGTCGTGATGATGATTATGATGGTTGTGATGATGATTATGATGGTCGCCTTCGTCTTCCTGGTCGCTGTCGTCCTCATCGAAAAGCTTCTGCTTGTGGAATATGCAGCACTTCTTAGAGCTCTTCTTCTGCATGAATTCGTTGTCCACCGTCCCTTCCTTCCACGTCACCTTCTTCTTCTTCCGATTCAAGCGTAGCACTAGTGTTTGCGGTTGCGGCTGCGTCTCCGCAGGGTTCTCTAGGGTGACGGTGACCGACGATCCCCTAGGTCTGGTCGTGGTGGCGCTCATCTCTCTCTCTCTCTCTTTCTCTCTCTCTCTCCGTTTGGGTTCAAATGGCGTGCAGTACACCTTTTTTATGGGTGGGCTTTTGTTTTTTACAATGAAAAATAATTCATATGATTTTTTGTAAAAATAAATTGGGCTTTTTATTTGAGTAAAACAAGAATCAGAAGTACAAAAATGAGGACTATTACACCAATCAAAATATCAATTATATTCTTTTTTATTTATATTTATATTTATTTTATAAATAAAAATTTTATTCTTATATATTATATTTATTAATTATGTATTATATTTTTTATTCTAATTATGTTACTAATTATTTTTATTATATAATTGTAACATCTCGAACCCCAATATCAATAGGTACAAACAGTAACACAATATTTCTAACTAGTGAAATATATAAATATTAAATATGCAGCGAAACTACATTTTAATACTTATATATTGTAACAAAATAATTATTCGTTTACAAATAATTAAGTCATCTAAATTAATTTACAATATTAAAATATAAGTTAATAAAAAAAAAATTACCATATTCTATTGATGTTGAATATATTCCTCGTCTTATTTAACCTGGATGGAGTGAATTGAGGTGAACTTTTCGAGCTCAGTAAAAAAATAGATTCTATAACAAAAACTTACGTGCATATATTCACGCAATATATAAAATATAATAATTTTTATCATCAAAGAAAATATCAAACAAACGTCACAATTAAAATACACAATAAAACAAATCATTATACAAAACATATTCTAATCATCACTCTTATAATTTAATTCTTATTCTCCTTTTAAATCACACTTACACTCAAAATATCACAATCTAAAGTTTCATCACGCGATGCCATTTATATCGTCATCGAGGAAATGAGAAATGAATCATTCAATCGCATGGATAGCACACACACAAATCTCACAATTACCACAGCAGGTACGTTTGCTAGGTGACCCACATTTACAAACACTTATCCACGTCTGGATTAAGTTTTAAACTTTATCCATATGCAAGTTCACCATATTTGCTGAACTTCAGCCGCACATGCACCTCCCCTCCTCGATTTACGATTAACGAATTAAGTGTCTTATTTACTTTTCACAGTTTTCATATAATTGTCTTAACTTATTCAATATATTTCTCTAACTAACTTACATTTCTCAATTTTTTATGTGTTTGTTTTCTAGATTTATTTAACTTATTTAAAAATCTAAAATTTATATTAATTTAAGGTCATAACTTCTAACACAATTAAATACAAACATACACACAATCTATGATATCATCAGACACATCAAAACTATATATTTCAAAACACTTTTTAAATCATCTTATACCAGATCACATAGAAAATACGTATGCTCAGATTCCTCGCGCAACTGTACCAGATCACACAATAAGTACAGTGCACCGTACATCTACACCAGATCACACAATCAGTGCAGTGTACCAAAATTTCACATGTACACACACTGGTTATACACTTTCACATGCATAACATATGTACACACATTTTAATAGACACACATATATTATAATACAGACATGTATCATCACTACATGTCTAACACAAAATATATATTTATATTCATACACACACAATCTCAGTCGATATATACACACACGTTCATACTTAAATACGTATACACAATCACACACAACATATCATATATATATATATTCACGCATTTGTTCTTATCAGCTCTGTTATTATCAATTTATATATCATTTATCGTATATTTTATATATACACACACATGTATACCAACGTAGATATATATATATAATATAAATAATACACACATATACAAATTAAACATATTAATTATATTCATATTACATTACACATACATTTAAACATTCACTCATAATATACTATACATATACATTTTTGTATAAATATATAATTTATATCTCCGTACGTAATATACATAATTTACTTATGGTATAATTAGGAAAGTTTTGAGAATTTTTTCTATCTCGATATACAGTTCTCTCGAAAATTCGAATCCATTTAGGTAATTTTTTTCGTTGATAATAGAAAATACATAAATTAAATTATAAATAATTTTA